GCGCAGAAGAGAGCAACGAGGATGATCAGGGGTCTGGAGACTGAGCCCTACGAGGGAAGGCTAAGGGCCCTGGGAATGTTTAGTTTGGAGAAGAGGAGATTGAGGGGGGACATGGTTGCTCTCTTTAAATATCTGAAAGGATGCCATTTAGAGGAGGACGAGGAGGAGGAGATTGGATTTATACCCTGCCCTTCACTCGGAGTCTCAGAGCGGCTTACAAACGCCTTTCCCTTCCCCTCCCCACAACAGACAGACACCCTGTGAGGTAGGTGGGGCTGAGAGAGCTCTTTCCAGAACTGTCCTTGAGAGAACAGCTCTAACAGAACTATGGCTTGCCCAAGGTCATCCAGCCAAGTGCAAGTGGAGGAGTGGGGAATCAAACCCGGTTCTCCCAGATTAGAGTCCGCGCACTGAACCATGACACCAAACTGGCTCTCTCCAAAAGGAGCTGTTCCAGTTGGCAGCAGAGGACAGGACCCAAAGCAACGGGTTTAAATCATATGCAGAAAGGCATCGGCTGGATATTAGGAAAACCTTTTTCACAGAGTGGTTCAAAAAGGTGGAATCAGCTGCCTGGGGAGGTGGTGAGCTCTCCTTCACCGGCAGCTTTCAAGAAGAGGCTGGAGGATTATTTGTCAGGGATGCTTTAGGCTGGTCCTGCATTGGGCAGGGGGTTGGACTAGAGGGTCTGTGTGGCCCCTTCGAACTCTGTGATTCTAGGATTCTATGACACTCTCAACCACCCTCAAGCCCCCTGCTGTGAAGGGATCATACCCTCTCCTGAGCAGCACTTTTGTGTGCCCCGGACAAGGCAGCAAGAAGGGAGGACCCAGCATCAGTGGAAGGTCAGGGAGAAGCGGAGGCGGCCACGAGCTCCGACCGACAGCCGCGTCCCTCTCCGTGTTTGGTGGGCGGAACCGCCGCCCAGCCCCCCTTCATTCCTGCACTGGCAAGCCATCCCGGCTCTTGCTGGGATCCATCTCTGGTCTAAATGATCTCTGGGCGAAAAACGGCTCCCTCTCCCTCCGAGAAGCAGTAATGTGGGGACTCCCAACAGGCAGGCTGCCAAGGGGGATAATTAAGCTAAATCAAAATATGCACCAGCCACACTAGGAACATCGCCGCAAATGAGGATAATTTAATTACCACGTAGGAGAGGAGTGCTGCTTTCCAGGAGGTTTCCGGTGTGACCAGAGATGCGAGGGGGATAGAAACATCACCGAGCTTCGCAAAGGACTTTTTGTTTGGTTTATTGTTTTAAAAGGGTTTTTTTGGGGGGTAGGGGGCTTTCTATTAAGGCCTGCATATTAAAAACACTGCCGTTTCCCATAATTGTGTCATAATCTTGCCATAAAATTCAATCACGGCAACAGCTTGTGTGCGTTCAGAAAGGAAGGGAACCAGATGAAAGATGACTGCAGATGGGGCGCCGCTCAAGCTGGAAAAGGCGTTTTTCAAAGGGGACGATTAGACACCGAGGACGGGGAGGCCCTGCGGGGTGTGAGCTCCTCAACACGGATCCCAAGTGCCGGGGTTGAAAACAAATGGACCCTAACCCTCCATCACCACAAGAGCCCGCACTAGAAGACACGGGACTTAACAAATGCAGCCTACGAGCGTGCAGAACTCCAGCACGGTTAAGAGCCTTCTTATGCGCAATGGCAAGGACCTTCCCTTCCCCCTCGCCAAGCGCCCGGAAACAGAGATAGCGGTCTCCACTGAAGATCTATCCTGCAGGAAATCCAGGACCTCCTGGCCGTAAAGGGATCACACCCAGTGCCCTGGGTGCTTAACACATGGAATTCACTGCCACAGGAGGTGGCAGCGGCTACAAGCATGGACAGCTTCAAGACGGAATTGGATAAACATACGGAGCAGAGGTCCATCAGTGGCTATTAGCCACCAGGGATACATAGGAACTCTCAGTCTGGGGCAAGGGATGCTCCGTATTCTTGGTGCTTGGTGGGGCAACAGTGGGAGGGCTCCTAGTGTCCTGGCCCCACTGCTGGACCTCCTGATGGCACTGGTATTTCTGGCCACTGTGTGACTCAGAGTGTTGGACTAGACGGGCCATTGGCCTGATCCAGCATTGGCTTCTCTGATGTTCTTATGTTCTGTTCTTGCCCCATGCCCCTCGGGACCTGCGCAGAATTTCACAGTGGGCCAGATCCGTCTCCTACTCTATCTTCCTGAAGGTGACAAAAGTCCACCGACTGAGGCAACCCCCTCCATCTGCAGCCATGAAAAGCCCGTTCAGGGGCATTTTGGCTTGACAGTACCTCTGCAGCTTTTTCAATCAGGCATGCCTCCGTTCCCACTTTTATTCTGAGCTTCCCAGGACCCCGGTTTATTCAGAACATCTACACTGTTAATCAGACCCGCTTTGTGATGCTCAAGATCTTGCAGTCACTCCAGCCAAGGAAGTCCAAGCCACTACAAAAGGCCTCTGCAGTTAACTCTCTTTGTGAGATAAGCACTCACCTCCAGGACCATTTCTAACAATGCACCTTTCTCACCTTATTGGGTATTTTTCTCCAGGGTCCCTTCCCAAGTGGAACAACAGCGGGAGCTGGGTGTGCTCTTCTTGAGTGTGGGTGGTTACTCCGGAAACATTCTGCCCGGGGCAAAAATCAATGCCCTGCGTTGGAAAGAGGAAAATAATTTGCAAAGATCAGTGACAATGATGGCCGATAGGGAAGCGTCTCCCTGTGGAAGCAACCAAAAGCTGGGGGCTGAAAATACTTCAGAAAAGACAGAACGGTGAGAGCAACTGAGAATCAGTTTGAGGGAAATGGGGGGGGGGGAGGAAAAGAAACCAGCCTGCTTAAAATCTCTGCAAGCTTAGAGAATTGGGGAGGGGGGGGATTTTAAGGGAAGAGATTTCCAGATTGTGTTCTTTATCTCTCTCTCTTTCATGGTTCCTCGCATGTCCCCAGTTTGCACTTCCTAACCTTAATTATATTTCTGTCCTTGCCTTTCTTCCAACAAACTCCAGGTGGCAAAAAAAAAAGGAGGCTTCCCAGGTTGGTATCCCATCCAGGCACGGAACAGATCCAAACCTTAGCTTAGCTGCAGCACAGTGAATGCATCATGAGCTTGCAGACCTGTCCCAGGGGCCAAGAGGCCAAAGCTGTACAAGGAATGCAGCTGGAGAACCTGGATGTTGCTTGGACAAGAGGCGCTTGCAGATGCTGCGTATACTTCCACTGGAAGAGACTGGATAGATGGGGCTTGTCTGACGCTGGAGATGCAACTGATCGAGATAAGGAAGGAACGTGCCCCTTCCTCATCCAGTCAATGACAAAGAAAGCGGCTTCTCCCACCCCCCCATGGATTAGCTCATTTAGGCAGAGACATTTGTAAACCTCTGCTCCGAGGGCCCACTGAATGCAGTGCCTCCCACTTGCCAGTTTGGTGTAGAGGTTAAGTGCGCGGACTCTAATCTGAGAGAACCGCGTTTGATTCCCCACTCCTCCACTTGCAGCTGCTGGATGACCTTGTGTTAGCCAAATTGCCTCAAATTATTAATAACTATGGGGAATTATGATACTACGCAAGGCAATAGGCAAATAAGGGAGCTTCTGCCCCTTCCTCATCCAGTCAATGACATACAAAACTGCTTCCCCCCCACCCCCCATGGATTAGCTCATTTAGGCCCAGACATTTGTAAACCTCTGCTCCGCGGGCCCCCGGCAATCGTGGCCCCCTCCGCCCATTCCCACACGTGCTTACTGGCATGTGTCTTCTCACCACACTCAGCGCATGCACAGCAAAGCCCTGCCAAATATTGTGTAAAATCTGCACCAATCACATTGCAAAAGAAAAACCTATACTCCTGCTAGCTGCAGCCAGACATCTGCTTGGTTTGAGCCAAGGGAACGGTGCCGCCGCTCAAGGCCCAATCCCAGAGCAACCTCTCTCACTTCCAGAAAGGGATGCCGTGCACCGTGCCGCCTCTCTCACTTCCTTCGGGTGCCTCCTCAAAAGCCTTTGGTGTAACCTTTTGTTCCCCACCCCTACCCAAACTGATCTTAAGCCTGGGGAACTGGAAGGCACCCAGATTCTACTCCCTGTCTGCCACCTCTAGCTCTGTCCAGTTCCTTTGTCGTCTCTCCTGGGGCATTTTTAGACCGTGTGCTTCTCAAGTGCTGTGCAAAGCGATATGCATCCTGATAAGTAAAGTGACTGGACAGTCACATGCTCTCAGACATGACAGGCCTGGCTCTAAAGAAACCATCTCAACCACCCAAGCCTTCAATGAACATCATATAATGCACAGCCATGGAGGGGTTTCTGAGGAATTTGCAACCTTCTGTTGAACACACAAACATGCACAGTTGCACATCACGGCACTGCTGGAGTCAGTGCTGAGAGACAGTCAGCTCTCTATCTGCGTGATTTAAAAAAAAATAATCAAATCTCATCTTCATAAAACATTCATTCCAAAAAGTGGAGGCCATTTAATCACTATGGTTATGCATATGAAAAGGATCGTCTGTTAGCTGCTGTGACTGCAAACTGGAGGCGGTTCGGAGAGCTTCATCCACAAGTTCTGACTGGCCGGCCACACCCTTGTGACGATCGAAGCAAATTCCACAAAGCCGAGAAAGGCCAGATCCTAAAAAGCAGGAGGGAAGCACCTGTCGGAACCTGCTAATTCCCCCGGCAGAAGAACAGCTGTCCAGCAAGAGGATTCCCCACATCTCGGCAGTGTCTAAATGCACATGTTCTTTCTCCATACATTGGAATGGCAGCCTTTGCAAATATCGGCATAACCTGGTCCTGTTACCCGGTTTGGAACAACTGTGCCGGGTCTGGAAATGTCCATTCTGTTCTGAACGGAGAACTGTCACGTCCTCCAGTTGGAGGCATTTCAAAGCATACAGCAAGGTACCAACCAATGAGGAGCCTCAGGTCAAGAGGGCCTGCTTACCCCTCCGTCATCACTAAAACATATTCGTTTTAAAGGAGAGCCCAGATGCCCATCTGACAGCAATGCTGATTCTGTGGACTTAGACAGATCCTGAGAGGGAGGGCAGGAAGGGATGAGCCAGTGCTCGGCTCTCGTGGCCAGTTTGGTGTCGTGGTTAAGTGTGCGGACTCTAATCTGGGAGAACCGGGTTTGATTCCCCACTCCTCCACTTGCAGCTGCTGGATGACCCTGGGCAAGCCGTAGCTCTGATAAGAGCTGTTCTCGAAAAAGAGCAGTTTCTGTCAGTGCTCTCTCAGCCCCGCCTACCTCACAGGGTGTCTGTTGTGGGGAGAGGAAGGGAAAGGAGTTTGTAAGCTGCTCTGAGACTCCCTTGGGTAGTGAAGGGCGGAGTATAAATCCAATCTCTTCTCTTCTTTTTTTTACATGCTCGGGGGAGGCTGAAGTTGGTTCCTTATTCATGTCTTATTCATGAATTCATCCAAAAACACTGGGGAGAGTTTGAAAGCTCTGAACCTCAAAATAAGGTCTGGATGTTGGGTATTACAAGTTGAAAGCACTCAGTATATCTGGGGATAAATGTTTGTTTCTGTTACTCACAGGAAGTCACATGTTTCTCATGTAACCAATGTTCTTTAGATGTAGGAAGCTGGGAATTTTCTCCCTGATCTAGGAGTTTGATTGGGACGAAAGTGTCAAAGTGTTTTAGCATTTTATGGCTCCTCTTCCTGTCTTTGTTTGCTGTTCTGAAGAAGTAAGAGTAGCCATAACTGCTCTCTTCTAGTTTTGTCTTTGTAGTGTAAGGATGTAGCCGATTAGCTCTGTTGTTATTTTCATCCCAGTTACCCTTCCCCATGCTAGAATTTAGGAAAAACTTTATATTTCAATCACACATGGACTCTCAGTCTGAATTATTTTACTCTGGCACTGCTGGGCTATATTATCTCTGCTAAATACCATTTTTTCAATATCTCACTATCACCCAACACTGGACCACCACGTATCATATGCCCTCAGGTTCACAGGACTCTCCCCTTCAAGAGGATATATCCTGTTTCCTGGTCCAAAGCATGGTTCTTGTGCCAACTGCTCCAAAGTGTAGTGCCCCCAGGACAATCACGCAGGCAGGAACTGGGGCCAGGCTGCACCCCAAACCAATCTTTGGACCACCCCAAATGACACGCTCATGCCCAGGGTAATGCTGACTGCCATTCTGGGAACAGGAAGGAATTTTCCTCCTAGCCAGATTGGCCAGGGACCCTGGAGGTCTTTTGCCTTCCTCTGGGCATAGAGCAGGGGTCATAGGCGGAATGGTGGTGGGTGGGAGGCAGTTGTGAATCTCCTGCATTGTGCAGGGGGTTGGAATAGATGGTTCCTGAAGTCACACTCAATGAAATTGCTGAGTGGTCAGGTTAGAACAGATAAAAGGAAGTCCTTCTTCACCCAAAGAGTGATTAACTCGTGGGATTCACTGCCATCCTAGCACTGGTACAAGAGAGGGCCCTGCAGCTACACCTGGGCAATGCAGGGCCTTTGACCAGGTTGCCAGCCGCCCTCCTCTTTGCCAGGCTCCACAGACCACGAAGGCCAGCTCACAGCTATTGCTTTTAAATGGGGGGGGAGGGGAGGGGCACAGCTGGGCTGTTTGCACATAGAAGGAGCACTAAGCCGAAAGGCTCTACGCAGACGCAGGAGGGGATTTGATTGGCAAACAATTTTCTATAAATATCCCGTGTGTCTTTAATGGACAGGCTGGTCAGTGGAGCAGTTAATATTCTGCTTTTCAATAAAGCAAGAAAGGTTAGAAGCCCATGAAATCCCATTTACCTGCACAGAGCTACAGATTTCCAAATCAGCGGCCGGAAAAATAAAGAGAGAGGGCGAGAGAAAGAGAGAGAGCCCAGATAAGGTGCCACAGACACCCCAGCGTGGCTCGTAAGCGGGATGCTAAAGTGCTTGGCCCTTTCACCTCCTGGGCTTCCCGGCAGCAAGGCCGGCAACTGTGCAAAGAGGAATTTCAGATTGGGGGGGGGGAATAAAAAGGCAACAGCGAGTCAGAGACAAAGAGTAACGTAGACACTGTCATCTGCATACCAATCGAAAAGGTGATTTAATGAAGAGCCCACTAATCTCTCTTGTGCAAATGTTCCAGTCTGAGGTAGGCGCCTACTCTCTAGCTTTCATCTGACAAAGGGAGCTTCGACTCCCAAAAGCCTGTGCCCCCCCCCCAAATCTTGTCAGTCTCTAAGGTGCTCCCAGACTCGAATCCAGCTGTATACGTGCAGTGGATCTCGCATGTCACCTTACTTGCAGTGTTCCCCCTAAGCTAAATGAGTGTGAGCTAGCTCACAGTTTTTTAGCCTCCGGCTCACACATTTTTTGTCCTAGCTCAGGAAGGAGGGCTCCAGAGCAAACTGATTCATGCAGTTGCCAAATCTCTCACTCACCACTTTAAGGCCAGTAGCTCACAAAGTAGAATTTTTGCTCACAAGACTCCGCAGCTTAGAGGGAGCATTGCTGGCTTGTCGGACGAAGCCAGCTAGGTCTCTGACCGGGGAAGCCAAAGGCGAGCAAGAGAGTCTGGCATGTTACATCAAATAAAGACTGGCCCCTTGCTCCTGCCAGGGAGGGGCCAAGGTACCTGCGCTGGTTCCAGACAAAGAGCGCTTTCTCCCTCACTGCTGTCAGCGGAGCCCCCTCCCAATGAC